ACGAACATAGCTCTGTTTGTTTTAAGAGCTGTTTTATGTTCACTGTGACATTCATCACTTTGTTGATAGGGTTGGTTGGCTTCATGGTACCTTGAAGATTTGTATTCAGTTGCTTCAATCGAAACATGGCACTTGAGCCTTCACATACTGGTTTTTGAAGAAATTGGTTATTATACTGGAAAGAAGAACAACAGCAACAGAAATCTGCTCTATTGTGATGATGTGCACATTTCATAGTCAATTATGGGGCACTTAAATATCCAGTTTTTTCCCTTATATATACTTTTTTGGACTACTGCCTGCTTTGTCTTTGCATTCAATCTTGTCTTTAATTGACTAATACATAGATACTACTTTGCAAAGGGAAGAACACCAGGGCAAAACCCCATTTAAAAATCAAATTCCTGCAGAAGGATATAGTTTCCTTGAAGGTGGTCAGCAAATGGGGTACTGGTAATTTAAGGCCTGAGAATGAATCCATATAGTACTCTAATGGTAGTGCCAGCATCTGAAACAATGAGAGATCCTTCCATGGTTTGGGGTTGCAAACAAGTAGAAACCTGGCTGGACCTCTTGGGGTGTGTCCATGTATTTTTGTTTCTGTAAATTTGTAAGAAACTCCTTTGTTTAGTTATGGACTCCAAAAATGAGGATAGCTGTTGATAATTTTGCAAATAAATGAGGGTGAGTAGATTCTGTTCATTGACAGTGCAGCCAGAACAGCAATACCCATGCACAAGTGGGAGATATTGCAGACGCTGGAAAATCCCAAGTTTTGCAGAAGTAAAACAACTTGTTTGTCCTCCCCTTACCCCAAGTGCTAGGAACTGCAAACATAGCCAAATGAGGAATCAGTAGCATGGGTACTGGAAGTGTGAGTTGAACAGGGTGGAGGGGGAATGAAGTGGAGGTTGGAAAAGGAGAATGGAGGAATTCATATGCATATACATATATGTGTCTGAGAAGTAATTCATTGTAGATGTCATTTCCTGGTTAATACTGGAGAACTTATAAAATGATCCCAGGGATGGAAGTGCAAGATGTCTATAGAAATAATGAAGAAATTGAAGATATTTATGTACTTGAGATTGGGCACCAATTTGTCCAACCCAGCTTGTAAAAATAATCCCTAAAAGTTTGGACAAGCTCTTTGCTCCTGTCCTGGTTCTTGCTTGGTGTGTATTCTATCAATTGCTCCTTTTTCTAAAGCATATCAACCTCTCAATTATACTCAGAACTCTCATTTTCCATTGATTTGCTTACATTCTGGTTGCATTTGACTATCCCCCCCTCAAGCTATAGACCCACACTGTGCACATGAAATGCAAGTTAGAGATTAGTTAGTTAGACCCAAGTTAGAGATTATTGCTAATCACATTCATGCTGCAGTATTGGTTGTGGGGTCCTACATGGTTCTTCTGTTTCTGATAGTCAGAAGTGAATATTGTTGCTTGTGTAGCCAAACTGGCATTAATCATGCACCAGATGGAGGTATTGCAGGAAAGGAAACCTCAAAATTTGCAGAAGTACAAAATGTAAGAATTAATTTTTTTTTTAGAAAAATAGAATGTGCCTGTTTATCCTTTCAGCAGTATACTTTTGGTGTTTTAGTTTTGTCTAAATTGGGCAGCTTATATAATAAGTCAGGTTGTCTATAAACAAGGTAGAATTCCCTCCTGTTCATCAGACAAGGATGCATTTCTAACTAAGGGTAAAGTTAAACATTTCTAAGGTGTCAGTGTGTCAAAGTAACTGGCAAGACATATGCATAGACATATAATTGAAAAAAGTGTCAGCTTATAAATGTGGCAAGTTCAAATGTTGTTACTGAGACCCGTAACATCTTTAACTTACCAAAACTTGAGTTTGCTTCTGTCGAGCAAGTCTGGCCACCCCCCCCCCCCGCGTTGTGTAATCTGATCATGAAGGAAATGGGAGACCTAATCTGAATAATTAAGACCTGGTTAAATAGTGGCCAGTAATACCTGAAATTATTTCTGCTGTACTGTTATTCCAAAAGCTCAGTGTAGCTGATCAAGTAACCATTTGTCAACATTCCTTTCTGTGGAGTTCTGAAGGCTGGGTCTAGGCTGTTGCATTGATTTTTTTTTAATAATAAGTTTTATTCAAAATCCTAATACAAAGAAAAACTAAAAACAACATCAGTCACCAGAAACATTGGACCTGCTGGGTCAGCCCCCCATTTTTTCTATTTATGATGACTTAAAAACATTTAAATCTATATGAAGTCCTGTTTCTCTAGCCAATAATAAAAAGAGTCCCAAGTTTGATAGAAATCAGTATCTTCTTTCTCCTTCAGTGACAAAGTCAATCTGTCCGTTTCTGCACAGTCCAAGATCTTTTTTAGGATCAGTTCATCGGTTGGTGGTTCTTCACTTTTCCAGTGTTGGGCAAATGTAATCCTTGCCGCAGTAATTACATGTACACTTCTTGTTTACTAATATCAACAGGTATAATGCCTAATAAGAAAACTTCAGGTTTAAAAGCTAAGGATTTTTGTAACATTTCCTGAAGCCATTTATGTATTTTAATCCAATATTTTTTTGCTTTATTGCAAGTCCACCACATATGATAGAAGGTACCCAATTTATGTTTACATTTCCAACATCCTTTTGACATATTTGGAAACATCTTAGCCTAACCTATTTGGTGACAAATACCATCTATAAAACATTTTATACAGGTTTTCTTTATACGAAGTAGCTAATGCTACCTTAATATTTCTCTCCCACAGCTTTTGCCATTTTTCTAATTCAATATTATATCCAAAGTTTTGTGCCCATGTTATCATAGTTTCCTTAACCTGTTCATCTTCCATTCTCCTATCAAGTAAGAAATTATATAATCTTTTAATCATTTTCTCATCTGATTTAAGCATCACCTGATCAAATGCTGTTAAATCTTTATAAAAGCACCACATTTTATAGTCTTTAGCATATCTCGATTGTATCTGCACCTTATGCCACCAAGAAATATTAAATCCTTGTTCTTGTGTTTCTTGATTCAATTTCAATCTTCCATCATTATCCAAAATGTCGTCATATCTCGTGATCCCTTCAAAGTTCAATGCATTTGGATATACAAGAGCTTCCATAGGTGAAAGCCATCTTGTTAATTTATTATACGATTTTGTCTTTAATTTTCCCCACGCTGACATTTCCTAATATAGTGACTTAAAAAAGAGCCATGTAGCTTAGCCTTTTCATACCACATATAAGCATGCTGCTGTTGCATTGATTTAGAAACATCTGATTGGAGGAGGCCATTTTAATGTCTTAGTTTGAAGTACAACCATTACTTTGTGAGGGACCACAAAATTATTCATAATATTTCCTGTGCAGTTGACCAGATGAATTTATTTACTTCTTAGAGACTAGTAGATACAATTAAGGTGCAAAACTGGTGACTGCTTGCTCTGATTTTTTCTGGATTTAAACCTACAATGCCTGAATTGATTCATATGAAAAGAAAACACACTTTTGTTTTGTATATTTAGTACTAGTAAGGTAAAACTGAAAAGTGAAATTTTATGGTAGCCATTATTACTACATTATGCAATGTCCCACCTTTCTTTTTCTTTTAAGGATATAAAAACATTTTATCAGGTTCTTCTTCATTTATCCTCACAACAGCAACCTTGTGTTGCAAGCTGGATTGAGAATCAGTGACTGGCCCAAAGTTACCTAGTGAGCTGCATGACTGAGTCGAGATTTCAAAGCCAGATCTTCTGAGTCCCAGTCCAAAACTCTCAACCACTATGCCCAGCTGACACTCAATAACATGGAGGGCTTAACATTTGCAATGTTATTTTTTGTTCTTAAGTTGCTCTTGACTACTTTAAAAATGCAAATATGTAAATGAAATGCAATTTCCTCCAATTTCTTTGTAGAGAGAAGGTCCTTCTCTTGCTCTCTACAGACTGTTTGCATAAGTTTATCTGATTCTGAGGTGAAAGTAAAGTAGAGGAACAAGTGGGAAGAGCAGAAATTCACTGATTTAAGTTTACCTAGTGTGATTTCTCAGACAGGGCATGCAAATCTGCCTGCTTTGGAAGGGGCAGAAGGGTTTTCAGGGTGGGAGGGGGAGCATATGCACGACCCAGTCGTTGATCCAGTCAAGAGGCAACAGGAGAAGTGTGTGGTCCAGAGGGTCTTCAGTCTTCCTGAAAGAGAGGGATTGAGGAATAGTTTTCAGTTTGGATTCAACTCTTTACATGGGCAGATGCTTTTCCCTCAACTTTTGTTGTTGTTGTTGTTAGTTGCGAAGTCATGTCCGACCCATCACGACCCCATGGACAACATTCCTCCAGGCCTGTTGTGGGAGTTTATTTAGAGTACATTCTGTTCCGTGATCTGTTAAGTTTTAATAAATAATTGCAGTTCAAAGGATTTGTCTTCAAATTGATAAACAGAAGGAAAAGATGGAAGGAACCAGCTCACAACACTCTTCAACGTTCTTCTTAATTGCACTAAATGATCTTAAACTTCAGGCACTTTGAAAATATAATCAAGAGACTGACATTCAACGACAGTGAATGTTTTGTCATGGTGCTCCATAATGAACAAACTGAATGGCCTGAAAAGGATTCCATTTATTTTTTTGTTCCCTTTAACATTTATAATAAAGGAGAATTCATCTTACCTGAAAATTTTCCTTTTTGATATTTTTTGCCAGTGCATCTGCACTATATTTGACTATAAATAGTGATTGTAAGCCGTCCTGTGATGCCATGCATAAGGGACGGCATAGAAAATTTTTAAATAAGTACATATAGCAACATTTTTGTAATTTAAATAAAATATTGCAGAAGAATAATCAGCAGTAGCGCAAATGTTTTTAAAGTTCTATATTCAGTTTTTAATTATTTTGTTAAACATCTTTAGTGATCCATAAAGGTGACAATGATCTTAAATTAGTGTTTAGATTTGCCAGTGTCTTGTGTTTAATATAATATACAGTATACATTTTTCCCCCCACAGAAATTAGCAGAGTACGGAAGGACATGTATAACGACACATTAAATGGTAGTACGGAGAAGAAAAGCGCAGAATTACCTGATGCTGTGGGACCTATTGTACAGTTACAAGAGAAACTATATGTGCCTGTAAAAGAATATCCAGATGTAAGTACTTACTTTAACTGAGTATATCTTCTGGCTTGTTTGATAGCTGCTCAGTGTTCATTTTCATATGGTTTTCATTTGTGCAAGTTTTGTGGATCTAAACATGCTGCTTGACAGTAAGGTCTGATACACAGAGTGATAAGTGTATCTGTTAGTTTACAGTTTTACAGTGAATATTATCTTGCTGTTTTTCTTCCCTAAATTAGGCTTAGGAAATCTGTCATTTAATGTAGTATGATCAAAATCAGTAATGTAGTATGAACAAAATCAGTTAGCTGTTGCTTAGTTAACTGATACCAGAACAACAACTACTAAAGCCCTGTTCCAGTTTGCAGAATTGTTATTTGACTCTGTTATGGTGACATGTTTATATTCATATCCGAAGCGGTCATTTTGAGCTCATGAGTACATCACTTGGCTGCAGTAACCAGCTCTCTAGTTGATCCCAAATATGGATCTTAATATGGAGCATTTTCATATATGAAAACAGGCACACCCTAGAATGCAGCTGCAAGATTTGGTGGAATCCCTTCCCATTCCTTAACTGGACTATGTGGGAACCAGATTTCAAAATGTTTCATATTAATTTGGAACAACAGGAGAATATTTGAAAAGTCTCTGTCTTTCAGAGGCATACTGAACTATGCAACACAATTTGAGTATAGTTGAATAACATTCTACTCTAACTGCACTTTAGTGTGTTTTTGGTAATAAAACCATAACTGGTATGAAAAATACTTGGATGCATATTTGATTCTAAACTTGAGATAGTAAATGTAAAAATGCTTTTGATTAGGTTGATTGACCATTTTAGGTTTGGAGTGAAAAGCCTGTGCTTTTGAACTCTTAAGGAACCTCTACAGTAGCAACTGTCAGAAAACATCTAGGACATGATCCAGTGCTACCTACCATGGGAACAGCACTTGTGAAAAATCACTGAATGGAGAGGAAGTGCTGAACTGGGACTGACAAGGGTGAATTAAATTGGGGCAGGTAATATCCAAGATGCCTTACCGCTTAACCTCAAAATATTTTGGGCTTTTTGCACAGACTTTGTGATGCTTAGTTGAAAATGTGGCACCATCCTAAATGCAAAGCAGACTTGGAACTTGCAGAATGGAGTTAGCATTGTTGCATTCCATCATCTGCTTCCTTCACATGTTTTCCTTACTTGTTGCCCTACTTGGTCCTGTGAGTTGGGGCATGGGACCAGAGAATTTTTAAAAATAACAGTAACAGGAAAACTTTGTCAAGTTGCTGCTTTTTTTGGCATCACTTTTTTTAATTGGTCTTTGGGAGAATCTGAATACCGTATTCCCATTTGTAGTACATTATGGTTCTTGCTGCTTTTCCATTTTTAAACCCATATTTGTACAAAGAGTTGTGGAAATGGTTATATATTGATAAGAATTCTGCAGGCATACAAATTACTCTTTGTGCACATCTCCTCTGTTTCCCCCTCTCAAATTTTTGATGTAGCTACCACATGAAACTACTTTGAATATTGATTTGATTGACTTTGTTACTGTTGTGGCTGTATTGGTGTGATGGAATGAGCAAATCTGGGAAATTTTAGGTTGGCAGCCATCTAAATGTCTTCAGTAATCAGCTATGAATTATCTCAGCCAGGGTGTGAAAAAGTAATAATATGATCTTACAATCTCTCCCCCACTCCCACCATTTTAAAGCAGTAATAAGTGATGGGAGAACTGGATTTGGGCTTTAGCACTAAAGGGGAGATTGTCTTGCTGCCCAAAAGTATTTGCATGGGAAAACACAAATATACTATACAAGGAGAGGGATCATAGATGATTGGTAAAGGACATGCTTTGCATGCAGAAAGTCCAGTGTTCAGTCCCTAGCATTTCATGTTAATATGATCAATTAGGAAGCAATGGGAAAGACTTCTGCCTGAGATCCAGAAGCCTCTGACTGTTAGAGTAGGCCATGCTGGGCTAAATGGACAAATATCTGTCCTGGTATAAGGCAGCTTTCAGCATTTCTTTGTACCTGTATGAGATTTTTCTGTGGGAAATTAGTAGTTTCTAAGATGGAATGTGGCTAGGAAAATAGTATACATGAGGATGGTTGGGGGAAGCAATGAAATATTGCATCCCTTCTTCTACTACTCTAGTTCCAGAGTGATTTAGTGTTCTTTCTCCTGTGATTGCTATCAACTTAAAATGCAAGAGATCCACTGAAAATCTGACATCTTGCCTTGGGCAGTGGCAAGGCTCACTGATTACGATAAATTTATTAAGGGCATTTCAGATGCCAGTATCCCCCCACCCCCGCCCCAACTCATACAGCCTAGGATGACTTGTGGTATCTAGTAATGGTTTAGCCCATTATTGGTACTCAGCAGCCCTGAGAAAGCACAAGATGTAAAATAGTATAGAAAGCAATGACAGGGCATCCTCCCTGAGTTGTCTCTTACAAAGTATGGGACAGTGGTCTCTCCCATCTGTTTTCCAAGTGCTGGAATTGGATAAGATGAACTCAATATTCATAGATTTTCTTTTTGACTCCCATTAATTGGGAATCTTGGAATAATACAAACTGAGACTTTGTTACATTTGTCCTATTTGCTACTTTGAAAATGGTTGAGGGGCTATGAATACCCAGTTTCAAAATGCTGGGGATTTTTCTCAGTGACAGACAAACATGATCAGTGTGTTACTTGCTTTGGGAAAGAGCATATCCCTGACAGTTGTCAGCATTGCCATCAGCTGGGTGACAGAGTACTGAAACTTAAGCTGTCTGTGTACCTTTTGGGAATCTAGCTAGCCAGTAAAATACAACATAAGATCAGACTCTTACCAAAAGGAATGTTCCTCAAACATGATCCTCAGGGTTCACTTTAAATATTTGCTAGTAGATAGGTAGTGAATAAATTAATCTTTCACCTTGTTGGAAGTGCCAACAGCTGAAAGGGCTTGCAGAGGTGCTCTCTGTGCTGTCCATAACCAGATTTGTCAATATTGCTATGCGCCCTATGCATTGGGCATGGTATACTTTATATTTAATTTAATTAAAACATTTCTATGCCATCTTTTGCAACAAGCCTCAGGCTAGCTTACAGGAGATAAAAATGACAATATAAACAATAAAATATAAATACTATTAAAACATTCAACAATAGAACAAAATAAACAAAAATACATCTTTTTCATGACTAAAGAAAAAGAAAGATGAAAATGAAAATGCAACTGTATAAAATTAATAATATTATTAAAATTGATGATAATTAATTATTAAAATGGTGGTTAAATAAAAAGGTCTTTACCTGGTGCCGGAATGAATACACAGTTAGTGCCAGGCGGACCTCCCTGGGTAGCGTATTCCATAGTCTGGGTGCCAACACAGAGAAGGCCCTCCTCCAGGAGGATACCCTCTGTACCTCCTTCAGAGAGTGTTCCCGGAGCAAGGCCTCCCCTGCCGATCTTAAGGGGCATGAGGGCATATATGGGAGGAGACGTTCCTTCAGGAATCCTGGTCCTAGGCCATTTAGGGCTTTATAGGTTAGTACCAGCACCTTGAATTGGGGCCGGACTTCAATTTGGAGTCAGTGAAGCTGATAGAGGACCAGATAGGAGCAGAACCACTGTCATTGTTGTGCCTAACGGCTCGGCAGAGGCGTTGGCACGCGAGAGAGGGCCAGAAGCTCACAGTGAGAGTCAGGTGTTGGCGCAGGGGGATTTATACTTGGTGCCCAGGGCCCAAATGGCCCCCCTGCAGCCCGACTCTGAGGCTTCTGAGTGAGTAGCCTCCCCACGTCCTGGCTCTGGGTTGTTTGAGCAGGGGGCAGCTTCCCTTCCTCTAGACTCTGAGGTGTTTGAACAAGTTGCTCCCCCGCCTCCTGACTCTGCAGCTGCTGGGCGGAGTTCTGGAGAACAGGAAGACGTAACAGGAAATGTAGGGAATGCCCAGCTCAGGAGATTGCGGCGCTTAGACCAATTGAGACAACAAGAGAGAAGTTTGTCCCACCACGAACAGAAAGACGTGAGAGAAGATTGAAATCCACGTGACCTTTCCTATAGGGTTCAGAAAGGAGGGGGCAAATGAGCTGCAAGGAGCTCCTCGCCATAGCTTATCTGTTGCATCGTAAATCTTGTAGCAAAGAGCAATAAAGGTCTTTAGTTTTATTGCTGAGTGCTGTGTGAGTTAATTGGAGATGTGAGTTACGGCCTGACAACAGCCATTCAGAGCCTCCAACTCCCAACCCAACCAGCCTGTTCAGAAGGATACCATGGTCGATGGTATCGAAACCCTCTGAGAGGTCCAGGAGAACCAACAGAGATGTACTCCCCTGTCCTTCTCCCTGCATAGGTCATCATACAGGGCGACCAAGGCAGATTCAGTACCATAACCGGGTCTGAAACCAAACTGAAATGGGTCCAGATGATGAGTTTCATCTAAGTTGTCTGGAGTTGTCCTGCCACTACCCGCTCCAACACCTTGCCCAAGAATGGAATCTCTGGGTTCGGAGATGCCTTCTTCAGGATGGGCCTGTTCACCACCACCTTTAAAAGGGCAGGTTCCAGGCCCTCCATCAGTCAGGCGTTGATAAACTCCTGCACCCAGGGACCCATCCTGTGCCTGGCATTCATAAGTAGCTAGGAAGGGCAAGGGTCGGGTAAACAGGTGGTTGGGCATACCATCCCAAGCATCTTGTCCACTTCCTCAGGCTGCAGTAACTGAAACTCAGCCAAGAATGATGGACCAGATGGCGCTCTGGACACCTCCCATTCAGGAATCAGATCAGTTGTAGAGTCCAGCTCTTGCGCTGCAATTGTCTCCCAGCCTGCTTAATTGCCTGCAGCTCAGGCATATACCATGGTGTGGAGCAGGCTGTGCTAGACGGGAGAGGACGCTTAGGTGCAATCATGTTGATTGCCCTGGTCATTTCCCCATTCCACAAATTGACCAGGGTATCAACATGAGCACCAGGTTTATCTCCTGGAAAATCCCCCAGAGCCCTCAGGAATCCATCTGGATCC